TTTGAAGCCCTTCACTGGTTAAATGGTTAACGTCTTGTATAATGTAAATCTTTTACGGTTCCAATTTTGATGCACCAGATGCGCAAATTTTGTCTCTTCAGTGATGCTCATGCCGAAACGTTGGAAATCCGATATATTTAAATTTAAAAAAAATTGAAGAGCTGAAAAAGGGGGTGCCAAAGCCTGGCGCCAAATAAGTCGAAGGATCAGAGATAATCCTTAATTTTGAAATAAATTTCTAAATTTTACCACAGCTATTAAATATATTTCCGTATTTTCAAGCTAGTACCGAAGCACTTACATGTAGCTACTGGGCTGTAGAGACCCTCGGGGACTAACAGTCCAACATCAGAGGCCTCAATCCAGGGATCAAAATGTAAACCATATATAGAACCAATTTTGATGCACCAGATGAGCATTTCGACAAATTATGTCTCTTCAGTGATGCTCAAGCCGAAACGATGGAAATCCGATATATTTTAATTAAAAAAAAAAACTTTGAAGAGAAAGTGAAATTATCTCGCAAGGAACGTAAACTGCATCAATCAATCAATCAATCAATAAAAAAGACAAACATATTAAATATGAGAACAAACACAGAACCCCTATCTTAATCCACTCATGAAAACTCCCCTATCATAGCACGTTCAGGACCTATATGACCTCTGATCTTGAGATCCACTGCAGATCTCGATCTGAATATCTAAGTACACTGGTGAATTAATATACATTTTTCACAGTAGTGCTGTATAAAGTGTTCATCGCTAAAATTTTGTACTTTCAAAAACAAAAACAAAAACAAAACAAAACAAAAATACGTAGGATAATAGGCGAACTATCAGTTGTCGTTCACTTTAGAGCTTTATTTGAATTTCATGATTTTGCAATCAATATGAGATATTGAAATAATAGAAATCTAGATTAAGTGCTAGAGATTTTACAATATTAAATTATTTAAAGCTTTGAACTTACATGGAATGATACTTGACTTCTAATTGTCATTTCTTCCTAGTACATCTATGCAAGAGCTGTTCAACTTACCTGCATGATCATGGGTGTGTAAGACCAATGCCGTGGGTAAATCAAATTCCAATAACTATTTTAATATTTTTCAGAGAAAAATATTAAATTTCCGAACTGATTTCCCTATGAAACAGATTCATTTACTAACATCGATTTTACACCAATCAAAAGCACATTTGAAAATTCATGTATCAAGTAATAAAATTGTTGGACCTGGTACCATTCAGGAATAAACATCCCCTGTCAACCAGTCACATCCGCCTTATGTTCTTTGTCATGATCGGGTAAATGGAAAAATCCATAGACATTTCAGAGTAAAAATTTTGGCCTAAGAATTTGTATAAAAGACGTCAGTCAATATTCGACAACAGATTGTATTTGCAAACAAGTTCACTGTATGACATAGCATTTGCGAAATTTTAACTTTAAGAGGAATTCTTGATATTCTTGTATCTTCAATTTATTTGTAAACAGCTTGCTTCATTTTAGAAATTGGTAGCACGGTAAGCAGAATGAAGCCTTGAGTATCGAATTAATTGGGAAACAAACTACATATGCAGGTGATAATAGTATATTGCTACATAAGTAAGGGAAATTGACGATAGAAAAGTTGATGTCATTGCGTTTATCATAAAGTTTAGCATATCTCTCTTGTTAAATATTCAAATGTGAAACAGATGTGTCAGACTCAGAGGTGTCTTTTATTTCAATGAGTTCAATGGGATATATTGAATCTACGCAGGAATGAAAATACATATTGTTAATTGATAAAACGTCCTCGATATATTATCGTCAAATTAAAGAGTACTGTAAGAGACTTCTTCTTCATTTAGGAGTTTTCAAATAAATTCTGCTTCATTTGAATACAAAATTAGTCTGCTAAGAACGTGACACAATAAGACCCATGGGAATTCCGACAGGTTGTTGGAAGACCTGGTCTCCAACAACTATTAATGTTTGGAAGAAAACTCCGAAGAAATGTTTAACTAATATATAGATTCTCTTTGAAATTCCTTTTAGTAAAATTTACTTCACATCTTTATGACATATATGTACAACTGACGAAGTCATAATAAATTGAGGAAATAAAACCTAGAAAATTTTCCATTTCACTTTATGTGTTTGAATAAAAAAAAATGAATAGCTGAAATGAAAAATTAATGTAATCTATGTGCTTAAGTTATAAAAGTTTATGGGGATATGACCTTATAGAATTCAGAAAATATGCCTGGATTAAAAAAGCATCAATCATGTCTTCATGAATTAAAAAAAATAATTTCTAAATTGATTACAAAACAAACAATGACCAAACTTGCATCGAGGTTGCAGAGAGATAGTAAGACCAATCATGTATCAGATGCTGGATGTAAATTTCATTTTGCATGGAGGATCAAGTTACAGCACACGTCTTAGCACACCATGATTCAAGCGATGGAAAATCTCACACAATATGTGTCTGAATCTGTATTTCATATACGTACTAGTATGTTTGTTTTTTTGATTGTTGTTTAATGTCCCTTGGAGAATTTTTCATTCATTATCATATTGAGACGCCACCACTTGCCGGTGGAGGGCAGCAAATTTAGACCTGTACTCAGCACTCAGGGCTTTTGAGCAGTGAGGGATATTTTTCATGCCAGCGTCTGCTGCGACACGGGACCTCGGCTTATACGGTCTCATCCGAAGGACCGGTCTCCACGTCCCACAGCGGAATTCGAACCCGCGACGTAAGGATCAACTCCGCATCTACAACTCTAGAGAAAACGCTTTAGCCACTGCGGCCGACCGTGCTATTATGTATTCAACCTTTAATTTGCTAAGTCTTACTCTTCCTTAAGTTTCGCTCTAAAGCCAAACAGCAGGCTTGAGAAAATGTAAAATAGTCATTCATTACATAAGCTTTACGTTATTGTTTTAAATATACTGTTAATATTCATCTAATCAAAATGGCTGTCTGTCAATCGATTTTTTTCAAGTACGAAGAAAGAAATTTAATTTTATTGCAAAAAAATCTCCTACAAGTGTTCTCATTAGCTGAACCATAAAAAGCTTTTTTAATCTTTCATGTCAAATTCAACATCGAAACAATATATATTTGAGAGTGCTCGTTATTTACATTCATTTTTAGCTATTGTTCCTTATTTGCATTCACTTTATAAAATTCAGTGTGTCGGTTAACATGAGTAAAATCTACTTTTTATTTGCTTGTGCAACATATTGATCTTGGTATGTAAATGCTGAATTTAGAAATTCACTGTCAATGGAAAAAAAAATGATAAGTATCCGCGAAAAATGATGTATAATGATTATCATTTACACAAGAAAAAAAAGATGAGCGTCATTACTTAACTTTGCATCCTCATTGAGACACTGAGCAATGGTGATGTGTAATGGTAATACATTATAATCAATACATTTTTCAAAAAAAAAATGACGAAAAAAATGTGTGATGGATCAATATTTTAATTTCAAACACATGTCATGCAATACTTTTATTTTTAAAAGTTAGTTATGACCGGAACTTTCCAATTACATTTAATAGCATCATTACATGTGTAAAATGATATAATTTCGAGATATATTCATAATCTGACTGAAGTTAATTTACAAATATGTATGTGTTCATACAATTTAACTGTTTTGTTTCGTATAATGTGTAATGTAATTCATTACTTTAGCGAAGTAATTGTAATTCAAATTCTTTTTTTCAAAAAAAGTAATGATGCTGGTAATGAGATGGAAAACATTCTTTGTAATGGTAATTTTATGCATTACATTTCAATGCATTGCTCCAAAGGATGACTGCACTTAACGCCGGTTTTTGGGTCTTTTTCGGTTGCTTCTGTTGCTTTTATATCTAAACCTTAATTCACTTTTGTATATTTATGAAAGAATCCTGTCAATTTGGAACCAAATTTAAATCTTAAAATGATTTTAGACTGTGAAACAATAAAATGATTCAATGTTTTTTGTCCTTACTGCTTTCCAAATATAGAGAATTTACACTTACCTGCCCTTGATTGAACATTAGATATGCATGAGAGGTGGAGCTAACATTGTAAGAATGGGTCTAAAATTAGACTAGATAAATAACAATGACATGTTTGAAATAAGGAATGTGATCACTCTTTCCCATCTCCATCTCCATTCTATATGGCACAAATACACTACTGTCAAAGGTTTCAAAGCGAAATTAACAATATGATCACGTCCATGTAATTAAAGCAGATTTTTTATCAATGCCAGATGACTTAACGTGTTCGAACACAATGTCCTAGTTAGCACAAAACATGCTACCTTACAAGTCACGTGACGGAATTTAGTATTCACAGAGTTACCTGAGGTAGGAAATCACGTGGTGAATTATAATATTCAACATGTCACAACCCTTGGTTACAACACAGAGAGCGAATGTAAGAAGAAGCAGTTTTTTCTCTTTTTAACCATGAGCGCATGTTTGTCTATTAATCTCCTTTTGACACATTATTATTTATGCAAATATACAACTACTGTTAAACGTAGAACAATAGACAAACATGCGCTGACTATGTATGAAGTCAGTAAAAAAGTGGGCGTCCTCATTATCGAACGAAGATTCAAGAAATTGTGATGACCCCTGCCTTTGAAAACAGATTCGAACTTCGTAAATACACACTTTTATTAAACGTAATTACATAAAGTTGTAGATTGGATGTTGACCATTCTTGCAATGAAAAGAAAAATGCTTGTTTTGAAAGTTTATTTTGTCGCAAATTTCGCATATCCTTAAGTGCAGTCATCCTTTTGCCTGAGACTGGTAAATGTGGCTTAAATTCGACCACTGGTTTATGCAGAAATAAAGAAAAGGGACTTCTTAAAAAAAGATGAAATATAAACCTTTGAAATTTAAAATTTTCACTCTTAGAAGATAAGAAAACATGAAATCAATATCAATATGTTTTTAAATGTATATATGAAGTTTAATCTCAGCTCAGTCTCATACTCGATCTAAAAATGATATACATTTAAAGGAAAATAATAATGAAACATTGTCAAAAATATGCGAAACCATTGTCAATTGATCCCTTCGGGTTGGTGGATTATTGATACTTAGGTTTATTTTCCTCTTTACTGGTATTTCACATACATTTCATTTTTACTCCATTGGAATCCACCCAGGATAAATGAAGTCATCAATGGAATTATTTCGGAACTCTTTGGCAAATTCAGATCCGGGCCTAAAGATATTCTTATAAAAAATAGTGATTCCTCGCGCCATCCATCCAATCCACCAGCCAAAAGTTCCCACAGACATGATGGTATGATTAGCGAGAGAAAGCAGGGCCATGTCTTCTGCTGCTGAATTCCCTGTTGAGTAGTAAACATTCTTTTCGGTTGCTAAAGCCCTTTTAGACCATTCAATATCATTAGAACCAACAACAAACACTACATGTCGATATCTCTTTTTAAAATAGTCCATGGCATTCTTATAGTAAGTTTCTGTTGGTGTGAGTTTGCCGTATTTATAATGCCCGATTGTTGCATAATCCCCTCTTCGAATATGTACACTAACTACAACGTTATTCTTATTTGCAATAAACTTCATCTGATTTAGGATATCCCTCATCTGAGTGTATGCTCTTTTCCGTATTGATTCTTTGAAAGTTAAAATATTTCGAATTTCCTCTTCATATTTTATCCAGTATTTCCATGATTGAAAGTAGCCATCAAATCTCACTCCTTTGGAAGACGGCACACTGAGCAAATTCTCATCATATGAAAGTCCCCATCTTTCTTTGTGTAGAGGTAGTTTTGAACATGCGTTCGGGAGTCTTTTTATTGCCGAAAGTGTAGTATGTTGAATATTAAACACTTGAACCAATTCTGAATTTTCTGGAAGAATAGGATATAGCTTTTTAATCTTTGCTATTATGTATAGGAACACGTATTCAATCATAAGATTTCCGAGTCGTCCTTTGAAATTTACACATACAATATCCTCTCTGTCGTTGTATTTTAATATATTTTTCTTCACAATTCGGATTACTTGTGTTTGTTTTAATGTCCTATGTGGCCGCCATATTTGTGATTCATATACGTGAATAATTAAAACTAAATAAATACCGATTGTTACAATAGGAAAACATTCTGAAAAAAGAAATGTCATTTTCACATCAAATCAATATTCAATGTTCGTGACATTGGTTACCGTTTACACACATAAAAATATAAAAGTTACATTTTTGAATTTTTTTCTTTTTCTATTTATAAGTAAGTGTATTCATTGATACTCATGTATTGTGATGGATATAATCCAATCCTTACTTTTGATATGAAATCTCCGCATGTTGACGTCTGCTTCAGACTTATTCTGCAAAATAAGCACCAATACACTTATTTTTCTTATAAGAAAGTCTATTAGAATATAATAGAGAGCAGCGAGAAACGCCGCTCGTCACTGCGAGCTCTTAACCCTCTTAGTGCCGCAGCGACATTTATGTCGCTAGAGAGTTCAATGCCACGGGGACGTTTTGGTCGCCTGTCATTTGAGTGCCAAAACGACACATATGTCGCATCGGAGTTAAAAATAAAAGATAAAATAAAGTCATGTTTATTTTCCTTAAAATGAATGATTTAGATTTTATAAATGATGAGATATGATAAGTGCAATTTGTTCTCTCAAAATGACGTAATTTTTGTACGTTTTATGACGTCATAATATGCAAATATTACGTAGAAGTTGTAAAAGAAAATGTCATCTGATAGTGATGACAGCTATGCGACCGACAGCGATAATAATGTTGATGTTCTAGTCGGTAGAGTCAATCATGGTCCTTGGTTTACGGTGGTGGATCCAAGTTCTTTCACTATCTCAAGGCTGCCTGATTTTACAGCTGATCACGGACCAGTTGATTTTGAACCCAATATGGTGCCTTTCGATTATTTTGAAAAGTTTTTGAAAGATGAGGACTGCTGCATTTTGGACATTATTGTAGAAGAGACAAACCGCTTTGCCGAAGAAAGTATGAATATCCGTCAGCGGACTCCATTTGCAAGAGAAAATAATTGGAAACCTATTACCAAAGATGAAATGAGCGCTTTTTTTGGCCTTGTATTTGCGATGGGAGTCGTACGGAAACCAACTTATGCATCATACTGGGAGAGAGGTTCCGGTGATCTTATAACAGAGACTCCAAACTTTTCTCAAGTAATGTCCAGAAACCGATTCCAAGCAATACTTCGATTCCTTCACTGCAACGACAATGCTCTGAATGTTCAAAGGGGGCTACCAGGTTTTGACCCGCTACATAAAGTGAGACCAATCATCGACTTTTTCAATGACGTATTTGAAAAGAATTATAGGTATATTCCTTGATTTACTTGACTAATAATAAAATTACATTTTGAAGTTTTTGATAATATTTTTAATTTAAATCAAATTTCCACGTCTTTTTAAATATTTCCTTTTTATTATAAAGTCGGTAAAATTCTCAAATGCAGAACAGTAATGATACATACACTGTATTAATTTTGAATAATTATTGAATTTTTTTTTTCATTCATTCATCCGATGTCTTTTTAACATACATGTATGTATTGCCTAGAATTATTAACGAGCATTTCGTTTTGCAGAATTGATAACAAATCTATACTGGTTTTTGCACAAATGCAAAACTATATACATGCATATAGAAATTATAAAAAAATATATATATATACCGGAATTCATAATCAGTTGTGTGTCATATTTATTATCATTGTTCATATAATTTTTTTGTCTCTTGTTAAATGTTACGTCTTTATGATAGACTTTCACAGAATGTTTGTATTGATGAACGGATTATCGGATTCAAGGGCAGACATTTCCTGAAGCAGTATATTGCCAACAAGAAGGCACATAGATGGGGAGTGAAGGCCTGGGTGTTAGCCGAGTCGCACACCGGTTACACACATCATGTCCAAATTTATCAGGGAAAACACAACAGCCCGAATCATCCACTTGGCCAAGGGTGTGTTAATTTAATAGATGTGTACACTAAGTCTGAATACTAGTAAAATTATCGTATTTTCATTATGGCATATATATGAAGGTCATATTTTAATTTTAACAAATAATAGTATTCAAAAAAGCTATGATTACAACTATGTGTGTCAAAATGGTATCTAATAATGTAGGGGAATTAATAAACTCGAAAAAATAATTAGTATATACGTTCAATGAAGTAAAGTGGGTGAGGTAGGTTTGCAAATTTTTACAAATAAAGTATGGACTCCTTCCGCAATCATGTTATAAAAAATAATATAACATACAATCGGAATTATTTTTAAGCAAATCGCTCGGTATATTTCATCAAAAGTCATTTCTTAATTATTGGAATGAGAAAGAAACTTGCACAAACATAAAGAGATTATCAACTAAAACAACAAATTCACTACATGCAGACAGCCCCCCCCCCCCTCCAAAATATATACACCCCAAACCTTGGTATTTTTTTTAAATGTTTTATTTCATACAACATTTTTATATTAAACATTTTACAATATCCAACATATAGAAAGAACTCCAACAAAAAATTAAAATTAAAAATATTCATATTGTATTATGAAATAGAACAGAAAAGTCACTTTGGTTTTTATTTACATTAACCCCCCCCCCCTTCCCCCTTTAGGATATCGGACCTTAAAAATCATGGATACCTATACTTTATGTCATCAAAATTTTAATGTATCATCATATTTTGTTTCGGTATTGTCTTTAACCATGCTGTCCCTACATTCCACTCTAATCACACTATTCTTCTTCAAAAGTAAATTCTATAGTGTTAAAATATCAAATCATCCTTGTTAATACATATACAACCAGTCCACACTATAGGAAGGAGAGGGGTGACTTACATGCTCTATAAGTTTTAAACACTTTTTTTGAAAACAGTCCCTAAGCCTGGGTGTGCATATAGACTTTAAGGGGGGAGGGGGGGGGGAGTTCTGACCACAAGCACTTGCGAAGGCATTTCAACTATACTTTTCAAGTGCAGAATTAGAGTGTATTAGAATTTTGAAAATAACTCTTTTAGTTCATAAAAAAATAACTATCAAAATCATTTCAGATATAAAGTCGTAATGGATTTAATGAGACCACATTTTGGTAACCTACACCACGTGACCATTGACAGCTGGTTTACCAGTCCCAAACTTCTGCATGATTTAAGGGACAGGGGAGTTTTTGGCACAGGTACAGTTATTACTTCGAGGAAGGGAATGCCAGTTAGTTTTAAAGCTACCCGCTTGCCCAAGGGAGACATGATTGTGAAGTCGCAAGGTCCTTTGATGGCAGTTCTGTACAGTGATCGGCGACAGGTGACTCTCCTCAGCACTACAGGAAGTTCCAGGTAGGTCTATCACATAATATTATCATAATACTCTAAAATTGTTGATTGCATTTAATGATGTCACATTTCATATTTAGAATGATGCGAAAAGCTAACACCAAAGGAAAAATTGTCAAAGCACCAGGAGTTGTGCACAAGTATAACGAAACAATGGGCGGAGTAGATCTAGGTGATCAGCTTCTTACACAGTATGAACCCCAGTTTCGTAGTCTCAAACTATGGAAGAAAATTCTGTTCAGTTTCTTGATGATGGCTGCAGGTAATACATATTTTGCAACATTTCTTGACTTTAAATTACTTCTCGCGAATATATATAGGACTCAAAAATACAAGTATGTGCAACACGTATTAATGCTATTATGTATTATTTAACAATCCGTTATCTCTTTCAGTCAATGCCTATATCTGTTACAAGTCCTCCTTCGTGATACAGAAGAAAATGGACCACTTACAATTTCAGAAAGAGATAATAAAGGGACTTTTGGGAAATTTTAGGGAAGGAAGATCAAGACGGGGACGACTTGGTGTACTGAGAAGTGCTAGATTGTCTGCCAAACATTTCATAGACTGGATCCCTGAAAAGAAGCGAATGAAATGTGCTGTTTGTTCAGGAAAAAGAGGGAACTTTGCCGGAACAAGGATCCGTACTTGGTGCCCTGATTGTTCCGTCGGGTTGTGTGTTGGAAATTGTTTCAGGAAATTCCACACTCTTATTAATTATGAAGAATAAAATTATTTTTACATGGAATATATAATAATGAGTTTTAGTCATATTCATTTACTACGTACTTGTATTTTGTTTGATTTCTCAGTTACTTTTTTCACGTAACTTAGTTTTGAATTAAAAAAAAAAAACAAATCAAGGATGAACTATTTAGCGAAGGTATTGTAATATTTCCAAAATTTTGACAATTTAATTTTTATTATACTTTCATGTTCATTAGTCGAATCTGATTGGTTGGAAGGCGTTTGTTACACTACTGCGTGCATAAACCACGCCCTCCACAGGGAGACAATTCATTACAAAAAACGTCACTTCACTACTCGATACAAGGAATACCCTATTAATTTAAAACGACTTGTTCTTCACTTTTTTTTTTTACTTAATTGCAGTTGTCGGGATTTCTCTGGTACTATATAATTTTTATAACTTTAGCAAACTACATAATTATATAATAAATGTACTGGAATTTTATTCCAGATATTTTTTTTTCGTCACATTTGAAAGTTACTTTTTTTCATATTTTGAAATAAATTTTATGCAAGCAAATTTTATCGCACTTGCAAGATTTTACAATCAGTTTTATTCTTTTATAAAACGGGAATAAGAAATTATTAAATTCCTTTTTTGTTAAATTATTTGTGGAATGAATAATTTCAATTTAAAAAATGATCTATGTATGAGGATCAGGTTGCAAAATTCAGGAAGGGGTGTGCAAATCCGGATTCGCTCCTGATAAAAAGAATTTATTCAAGAACATCATAATAATTGTCTGTTACGTTAAGGTATTTCGGTACGCAGAACGTACAGACTACTATGACGTACTAGCGACGTCATAACGTAATTCTATTATAAATGGCACTAAGAGGGTTAAAGCAACTTTAACGCCTGGGCGAAGAGAAAATTCGAACCTGCACATTGATCCAAAAGTAATTTTTCCGCAGTTACCTCGAGACCCACAATGCAACGCTCGTTGTTCTCTGCTGCCAACTTCGTATCGTGGTAATACCAACTAGAAATTTAATAGATATTGCATACAGATAGTATGTACTTTTGCATTTTTCAAACTTCGTTTATGGAAATGCAGCTAACATACGACGTCATGTGACGTCACAGTCTAGACGTTTCAAATGTCTCGTGCGTTTTGAAGAGGTGGATCTTAAAATTAAGTGAACAACTGCGCTCGCCCCAACGGTCACACCGTCAACATATCATATAACTGAAAAATATATATAATAAATAAACTTTAAAATACT